TCACCTTACTGTGTGAGGTGGCTTCCAAAGGAGTTGAACCATCACTTGCTGGATGATGTGGCCTCCTGACACCATTTACACAAACACTGGAGTTGAGCCATCATCTTACTGGATAACGTGGCCTCTTGATACAATTTACACATCCTCAGGAGTTGAGCCTTTACCTTATGGGATGACATGACCTCCTGATACCATGTCATTCAACTAGATCTATTGAAATAAAGCTAAGTAACCAGTTTCTGGATTGACTCTCTGTTGACCATCCTAGGCTAATAATAAAAGATGCTGGGCTGGCTCTTGTGGCTGGGGTTAATATTGAATGATGACTTATATTGGGTGGATTGCTTTCAGTTACTCTTTGGATTTTGTTTTACATTCACAAAAAAATTGCGATGTTTCTACTTATAAAAATTTAAAATCTGATAGTATTGATGAAAGCAAAATATTTTAGTTTATTTTCAATATCTGTCTTCAAATAGTTATTGTGTATTTACTTAATAATAAAAACTTTGTATAGGTGAAAGAGAAAGAAGAAACACTAATGAAGCTTAATATGGAAAATGATGAAATGCAAAAACAATTGGAAAATCTTGATATAAAAGTATCACAAAGTGAGGAGATGAAAAACCAGCTAGTTGGGGTTATTACTGATGCTGCAGAAGCATTAAGGTCTGGAATTATAGTAAGTAATTATACATTTATAAATGTATGGGATAAGATTTTCTTCAATCAGCTGAAAATACATTTAGAAGACACAATATTTTTGTATGAAAAATATATTACAACTTGTAAACTAAGCTTTCAATAAACCTCATTGCAGTATAGTGTTTTTCATTCTCCACTTTCACATCAGTATAACCTTAATGCTCTACCAGTATAATTTCCATTGGCAATTCTATCGTTCAAAAATAGCCTTTTAAGTATAACCTTAATGCTCTACCAGTATAATTTCCATTGGCAATTCTATCGTTCAAAAATAGCCTTTTAAGAGCCCTTTCTAAAGGCATAATAAATTCTGATATATTTGATTCTTTTTTTTTTTGTACTCCATATTATACAAATTTATGACCAATGTCATCAGAAAACAGTTAATTTTAGTACTGGAATCACCTTTTTTTTTGTTATCTCATAATTCATTTACTAACTTTTATGGCTCTCTGTTGTTAAGTTTTAAGGCTAAGAATTCTAAGAAATTATGAGTGAAAGCAAAGAAGAATATGTAATAATGTATCAAAAACACTACATCTGCTATATCCAGTACCAACAAGATCTTTCAGTAAATACCAGGATTTATCAAGCCCACTGGGATACAAAAGACATAGTAGTGTTTAAATGTTTAAATTATTGATTGCATGAACAGCAACTGTTATGGTGTAAACTAGATTAAAAAAGTTAAATGTAATTATTATAAATTTTATTTAAGTCATTGACAAATCATAATTACAGTAAAAATTAATAACACAGTTTTATTTATTAATGTTCAACACCAATTATTTATTATTATTTTTACTTGAACTAACTTTGCTGTCACTCAAAAAAAACTGGCAAACCAGTTAGAATAGACCAACTGACTTTTATAAGAACTTTGTGTGTTTAACCTACTTTGTTTGCTTCATGTTGAAAGGTTCTTAAAAAAAGTTTTAATTTAAAGCATCTCACAATTTTATAGGATTGTGAAGAGGATAAAACTTGTAAGTCTCCATATTACTGACTTATTTTAATACCTTTCAGTTCACTACCAGTAAGATCCACATATTGCATTATATCAAGTCCTTTTATATTTTTGACTGTTACAATTATCACTGTAAAAAATCTGAACAAAACAAACTGGGTATAGTCACCATTCTCTATCTAAGAAACCCCATAACAATAATAACTGGGACGAATGTAATTTTGGCAGTATTTTTGTATACAGTTTTTGAGTGTGACCCATATGCCACTGGGACCTTGTATCCAACAGCCATAGACCCACAAGCAATTTGGTGCATAAATAGTTTAGGAAAATGTGTTTAAGAAGCCAATAAGGTTCCTAGCCTATCAGTAATTCTAGGTTTAAAGATACTTTTTATAGGTTTTAAAAGAAGTGTTTTTTACAGTGTAATAAGAATTTAAAATAAAGATTATGTTTGTTTATCTATGACAAAGCAACTACGGCTGCTTACCACAAATAAAGTTTTTGAACAAAATTGTCTCTCGATACAATTATATGTATATAATACTATATCAGCTAAACTTGATGTAAGTGCCAAATAATTTTTTAAATGACATATATTAATCAATAAATAAAATAGTAAATAATGTAACCGAAAATAAAAATATAAACAATACCATGTGATTGACATTTTATCACATGACATATTAACCACTAGAAATACAAAGCACATCTTTTATAAGTATAAAATTTTATTAAAGAATTATGAAATTTGCATGTGACAAGGCAGACTATACAGTATATTTATGGCTTGGATCATGCTCACTAGTTTCAAAATCGTAATCTAAACATTATTACAAAAATATAGAGTGCAGGTACCCTTTTATATCTTGAACTTTTTCACTAGAGCAAACCTCAAGAGGAAGAAGATTCTACAGAGAGGGCACTTTTGCTTAACCAACTCCTTATATTATTAGATAGAGCCACAGACCTAACTGTAGAGGAACTTCCTATGATTCCAGGAGGTTTAGATGAATCTGGGTCACAAACAAGTTTTCAAGGGTGTGTACATTGCAATTAATCAAAAACCAATTTTGGATAGTCTGTTGCTTTAGTAGGTTAATTTAAGAAAAACATTTTTATAAATATATCAATCAGTAAACATAAAAAAGGCTTCAAAATGTTTATCGATTTTTTTACTATTACAATAATTCTCAAACTTGTTGACATATTAACGAATGTGAAAATAATGACTTATTATACCCTGTTACTTGTACTTAGCAGATAGATATCTTTGCTTAACAAATATATATTTTGTGCATTCAGTAGCACTTCAAGGATATTTTCTTATGTTTTTGCTTCAAGAATCAGTTTGTATCAGTATTACAAAGCATTATTTTATATTCTCTTCAGCTATTAACAGAATTTGTATAAGTATTTACACCTTGTGTTGTAAATCTTGTTAGATGGTTTCAAGAAGAAACTTCTCTTAAGTATCAGGCTGGATGCTTAGGTTTTGTTCCCAATGTCAACCATGACTCTAGCAGAACACCTACTGGAGAAAATAACCAAAGTCAGGTAAGGTTTACTAACATGGCAGTTTAAATATATCATTGTTTTGACTTTTTTTTTAAAGTGAATTTGAAGTTTGTTATCAGAAGTTTGTTGTTTAGTTGATTGCCTTTTTTTTTTATCTATAAACTAGGAACCTTTCTAGCCAAATTATGATATTTGTTATCATTAGCAAAAAATTAAATCAGGCTGAAATATCTTTGGGAGAGGTTTGGTGTGGTTTCCAGTTGTAAAAAAATAGAGAGAGTACATGAAGGGTACATAAACAAATGCTTTATGATGTATATTTTCTCACCTCATGACATATCAAATTAAATTGGGTTCCTTCCATCTATTTAATTAAGCTGATGAAGGCTAATACTGCCTGAAACTGTGTATTTTATTTGATTGTAAAATGTATTTTTATCTACTTTGAGCTAACTGTTTCATTTTAAGTTGCATTTATTAATAAAACATAAATAAAATGTGATTGCTAGATCAAAATGAATAGTTTTGAGCACACTTTAACAATCAAATAATAGAAGACTGGGCACATAAACAATATTTATAAGTGCTGTCTTAAAAGACTTTTACAAATGGCACAATAAACAAAACAAAAGAAGTGGGTCACAAGCTTATAATTCTCTTTTTATTTGCTCATTTTGATTAGTGATTACCTGTTGATCAACAATAAATATAATTAACTATATGAATTAAGGAAACAAACAACTGTGATAATGACAGATTCTTTTCCTATCAGCTTCTTAAATTGATTAGTAATGAGATGAACACCTCTTGTGAATCATTATCAATGAAACTACTGTAATAACAGCTTTTCCTCTCAGTTTCATCTACAAGTCAGTGACATAATAGCCATTATCACAGCAAAAACTATTTCTCAGTCGGATTTTTTTGTTGATTTATAATTAAATAGGTTTGAGAAGTTGATTCTGACCTTTGAGGTCAGCAGTGAAACCAGTATCTGATAAGGGAGTCATTGATATAAAAATGATGTTTGACATCAAAATGTATAAAAAAAATTTGAAGTTAAGACACATCTGCCTATTACTTTAAGTTAAATTGAAAAACATGTATATATGTTTATACCTAATTATGCTTAATGGAATCATTCTGCTATTAAATTTATGGTGTCTTAAAAAATTTCTCATTAATAAGGATATTAATTTTTTTCAGAGCTCCTCTAAAGAACACAGCATATCCACCTACACAGAAAAATTAAGTAAATGAGATGTGCAAGGGTAAAACGTTTCTAAATGTAATTGTTAATCCAAGGAATGTTTCTTTGGTTGTTATAAAGGGTCATAGAAGAGGTATTAAAAAGATACACATTTTTTAAAAATGTTTCATTCAACTCAAGTGTTTTAGTATTTACATCTTTTTTTTATTCCATAGCTTTTAAACTACTTGAAATTTCATTTTTGTAAGTCTCACAATTACTTTTTTGTTTATAATACATATAATATAGTAAAAAGCTTGCAAAAAATATGTATCTATAACATGAATATGTACAATTTTAATTTTTGTATAAAGAGTTCAGAGTTACTTTTCTTTGATAACAGTGCTTCATGTATTTAAAACCTGAAGCACATCAATTGTAAACTTTCCGATATGGTACTTCCTTTCGCTCACAAGATTAGCTATTATCGTCTAGTGCTGCCCTCTATATGCAGCATTTTTTCTTTATGCATGCCACAAGCTTTCTGCTCCCCCCTATTCGAATCAAATGATTCCAACATGTCTCTCATTTACATCATCATGTGTCACTTCTCCACCAATAGGAATGTGACATACTCACATGACACAAGTAACTCCCTCTATATGTCTCTACCGAACTATCATTTCTCGTTTCGCAATGCTTGTGCTTGATCGTGTTCCTTTTTGTTTGTTTAAAGTTTCACGTTTGTCTTTAGTATACTCATGAAGTGGTCTTCATTTATTTTCACTTCTAGTTTCTATTAAGACTGTTTCTTAACTTCACTTTAATCCCATCTTATTACAGTCACATTGTTATTTATACTTTTGATTATTGGTTGACTCTTCCTCATTATGAATTCCGAAGCTCATGCTACTACATCAGGGGTCACACCTGTGACTAGCGCTATATCTCAGGTGTGCGCAACCCGGTAGGAGATTTATCTTCATTTTTTTTTTCCAGGAGATTTAATGTTACATAGGTAAACCTCTGTCTCTGGACCTTGCCCCACTTCCTCCTGAACAAGTTGAGCCTGTTCAGGTGGACAAGGACTTAGATCGCCTATTTCTACCTCCTGATTTTGTTGTGCCTTCCCATGCCCCACCTGAGGAGTCAGTTAGGCCTAATATGGTCCTTTTGGATTTCGTTTCTCAGGTATGTGACATTTTATCCCTTAACCCTATTTCTTATGAACCACATTCTTCCTTACTACATGAACAATTGTCCCATCCCTATTTGGTTTTACCCCCATCCTCGGATATTCGAGTATATGCAGACTAATTTGCCTCACAATTAAGTGACACGACTGTTGTTGGGACTTTCTAGGTCGTGATCCAACCTTAACTCACGTCCATTTACCACAATCTTATCTTTCTGCAGCGATACATCTTTGACACAATTCCCGAGTCATTGGAATCACGAGTTGCATTAGTACAACAACAGTCTACCCTTTCCAACCTTGTTGCCTGTTTGTCTCAGTCAGAGCCCAATATGGCACCTCTTACCATTTCCCACCTTTCCCCTTCTCTACCAATACATATCCTTTGTTCTCAGGATGACTCATCTCATCATTTTATTCGATCATGCTCGTCATATCGCCAACAGTATCAGTGACTATCCAGTGGAAGCTCGACTTGCTGATTTTCTTCATCACTGGTGTCTTTTCATCAAGGATTGGGTTCTTCTAGTTTTTTTTTCGGAAAGATTCATGATCCCATTTTTTTCCCACCTCCTGTGTCTCTTATACCCATTTCCTTCCCTGTGCCTCAGGATCCCATGACCAGCCAGCATCTATCAGAGGCAGTTCAGGAACTGCTATTTCAGCAGGCCATCGAACTTGTTATACATTATTCACCAGGTTTTTATTGTAGACTCTTTGTTGTTCCCAAGAAAACCAGGGACTGGAGGCCTGTCATCTATTTGTCCTGTTTTCATAGAACTGTTAGTTTGCCATGCCCTTTCAGCTCCCTCACTTTCTGCTCGCAAGGTTCTATCACTTTTCAGGATGTGGTCTTCAATGATGCCACTGGTCCCCTCTCGGTCATGCGCATATTCAATTCCTTCAGTGGATTTTTAACGATCAATGGAACTTTGCTCAGGATCTTTTGTCAGCTCCTGTTACCCTTCCTCCTACCCTGATGAATGATCTACATTGGTGGTTGAACAAAGCCCATATGTAGGCAGGCATCCCACTTCCTCCTCCTCACCTGAATTTACATCTTTTCAGGGCTGGGATACATGGGTCAGTCACTAGGAGGCTTCGATTTGTTGGTTTGTAGATGAAAGATCTTTGCATATCAACGTCCTTGAGCTTTTCGTGGTCCTTTGGGATATCAATCACTTCCTTTCTCTCCCCATACATTGTCTGTTGATGATTCATTCAGACAATTTTATGGTGATAGCACATATCAATCACCAAGGTGGCACCCGATCGAGATCTCTCTGTTTTTGAACATTGGTTCTACTATATTGGGCCCACACACACCACATTCATCTCATTGTGTGTCACATTCCGGGTGTTTTCAGTTTTGTAGTAGATCATCTTTTTTGTCCCAACCAAATATATCCAATAGAATAATCTTTAGATTCCCTTGTTTTCCAGTGGCTTTGCAATTGGTGGGGTTTTCCTCACTTAGATGCATTTGCCACATACCTTAATCACAAGTTACCCCTCTTTTGGTCCCCAGTACCTCATCCTTTGGCTCAGGCTGTCAATGTGTTCAGCCAGGATTGGTTCCACAAATTCCTTTATGCTTATCCTCCTATCTGATTACTTCATTGGGTGATCTCTCTCATCCATACCACTCTGAGCCGAGTCCTTCTGATTGCTCCTTATTAGCCAGCTCAACCATGGTTTCCATGATTACAACAACTGCAACTTTTCCCTCCAGTACCTCTTCCTTTGTCTACCTCCCTTCTTCATCAACTTCAGTCACTGGTTCTACATTCAGCCATTTATGTCCTTCGCTTTCATGCCTGGCTTTTATCTAGTCCTTGGTGAAGAGATCAGGTTTCTTCTGTCAAGTAGCTTTCCTTTTAGCTCATTCCAATTGTCCTTCTTCAATGGAGGTGTATCACCGCAAATGGAAAGTATTCCACAATTGGTCTGCAACTCGGGGATTCCCCACTGACCGACCCACTGTGACTCAAGTAAGCAGAGTTTTTCACATAGCTTTTCAAATGAGGGTCTTCAGTCTCCTTGCTCTTGGGTTATTGGGTTGCCTTTTTTTTTGCTTCCCCTGTCCTTACCATGTTAATGTGTTCCTTTCGAATCCATTGACCTCCAGATGGCCTACTCTTCTGGACTGGGATATTAATGTGGTCCTCCGTTCCCTCACTTTACCTCCGTTTGAACCACTTTCCTTGTGATCCATGTTTCTCCTTTCCCTTAACACATATGCCCTTCTCTTCTTAGCCTGTGGATGTCAAAAGTCTGATTTGTTTGCCATTGACATTTTATGTATGCTTTACCACCCTACCTATCTTCTCCTTTATTTGGATCATTCCTTCCTCCCAAAGACCTTGATGGCTAGGGAAGGTAACTCCTCCTTTTCGCCTATTTCTCTTCTTTCTTCTATGTCTGGTCCGTACTCTTAGTTATTATATTGCCCACACAGCTTCTTACCGTGGTACCCATTCTCGACTCTTTATCCCTTAGCAGTCTTCCTCTGTTTGGGATCTTTCCCCTTCTACCCTCACCAGTTGGGTTTGACTTTTCATTCAGTTGGCTTATTCCTCCTTGTCTTCTTCTGCACAGAATTTGTTTCAGGTGTCTACTCATCAGATTTGACACCTCACTTTTTCCCTCACATCTAATCTTCATTGGCCATTGGAGGAAATCCTACAATCAGGCATGTGGACTAGACCTAATAAGTTTGTCTCCAGTTATTTACACCATATCACAATTTCTTCATTATCAGGTTTTCATCTTCCACCTGTAGCCGTTTTTCAGGCTTCAGTGCAACTTTGACTGGGTACGTTTATATTTAAAATTTTCATTTCTTCTCAGGGGCCCTTGCTTCATATACCCATTATATGAATCCTGCTCTGTGACAAGTGATGCCTAACCAGGTATTCTTTGGTTTGAAATCAACACTGTACAGCCATGTTGACTCACACTTTATCTTCCATGGTTTCACAATGCTCACTCTTGAGAGAGAGTGTATTCACCAATATCACTTGTAGGTGAATAACCTCACAATGTAATTGCTTCATAAGCTTCCCCTTTCCAAATAGTGTACCACCCTTGGACTGCATGGGTAAAGCAGAAGGGGATAGCTGCCCAACCCTGCCATACCTTGTATTGAATAAATTGTTATGGTCTACTTTTCAAAATAGGGTTTTGTGGTCACCCATTGCACTGTCTCGGGGGATGACGTTCCTCCGGACTCGCCACTGCATTCTCACCCCCTTTCTTCTCGTAGAGTACAGGAGTCCTTACCACTTTCCCTTTCCAAGCTGCTGGGTTGGTTAACTGTGAAGGGATCCTCCTGATTGGGTTCCACACAAAGATGGCTATAACCATTCAATGCAGAGTAGGGCATGGTGTTCTGCAGGTGTAGATGACATGCTATCCTCCAATATGCAATACACACTCACAAGGAGTGAGATGTCAAATTGCAATTCACCCCTTCAATTGGGAGCCTTCATCCTACTCCCACATGGATATTGGTACCCTGTGGATAGGTTTTGGATTTGGAGTAGAACCAATCAATATAAGTACTCACACATGTATGGTTGTCTGTATTAGTCCCTTGATCACACTCCTTCTGTGTTGTGGGTCACAGTGGAGGTAAGGGGGATTGTTCCAGTTCTGTTCTTTTTTGGGGAGAATCTAGAACTATTCTGACTCCTAAGCATGACAAGTTAGCTTTGATCTATCAATCCAGGGACTCGACATCTGGTATTGAAAGGATGTTTACATAATATAAGTCAACTCCCCCAACAGAAAAACTGACCTGAATCATTCAAAAAGCAATAACATCCTCAGAATAAGATACAATGAGGGATAGCAAAAAAGAGAGGAGCACAATCAAGTTGGAGAGAACTGTGGCAGGATAGTGATCCCAACCATGTAAATACATATGTAACTCAATCCCACAAAGTATAAAAGTAAGTAAAACATTGGATGTGTCCCTAGGTGTAGAGTGGCTA